AAATAAAATATGACCTAGTCTGCAAGTAGCACTGATATCATCTGAGGAAAATATGGATCTTCTCTTTCTGTGCTTTCTTACAAAGCACAGAAAAATAAGGTAGTGAGATTCTACCCTCCCTGAAACAACTCTGAGACACATAACGTCCAGTACCAATGTATTTGTTTAAGGAGAACTTATATTAGGGCAATACCCAGAGGGAAACAGCTCAAACAGGCGTGTGTATTGGAGAAGTAAGGCATATCCCTTATCGCTGCTGGTCATTTATAATTTAAGCTCTAAGTACATGACTAATTCTGAACCAGTAACAAAAATAAAAGGAAAAGAAAAATAATAGTTCCTGAGAAGTGAATAGTTTGGCTCCGAGTGACATTGGCTATGAACATGCCTAGGTGAACAGCACTGAACTGAATCAGGAGTTGAAGCACAGACAGGTCATTTCAAACAGTTAAGCAACACTTCACTCTAGGGAAGTCTCCCTTCCAAACACTTCCAGCATTCCATGTGGGCTTTCTTTCAAAGTTGTTGGCTGTTCTCAGTGGTTTTTCTTCATCTTTACTCTTTTTGAAGATTTTGGGGATGTTTAGGGAAGCTGCTATATTAATTTTCTCAGATGTTTCAAGTTCTGAAAAGCTTTCACCTGCAAAGGATTTATCCTGATGAGGAATTAATTCCAGCTCTACTTGCAGAAGAAAAAGAACTGTATACAATGTGAAGGATGCTTGGCTGCTTCTCAGACACTAACACCAGCGATTCTGAATGGCGATCTGTTAGGCTGTTCGGGATATTTGCATGTCAGCATGCAGAAAAAGCAAGCAAATGCAAATGAATGTTCCTGAAAACAGCAGTGGAAAGCAAATATTTTTTTACATACCCTTAAAAGACCTTGTTATAAGTCAGAATCATGATAGCCAGGGTGCAATACCAAAAGACAGAAGTACTAAATTTCCAGAGCAGGAGATAACTGGCTGGCTCTTGACAGTGGAATTGGGACCCTTCCCTCCCAGGGCATACTTCTACCATCAACTACCTGCATGCAGTATGGGTCACAAATATATAATGAGACTTTTAACATAAAATAGCTGCACCATTGCTGTTATCAGAAGAGAGATTCATAATCAGACTGACCTCTCATCTATGGGGGGGGAGTTTGGGGGCAGGGTGAATAATGGACAAATGGGGAATTTGCCAAGTATCAGGATGAAGAAGTTGAGCAGAAGGCTAACGGGCACTGGAGGAACTAGCATAGTTCTCAAAAAAAGGACAAATAATGAATGGAGGCAGCAAATATGAGGTTGGTGAAGCCCTGGAAGAGGTTACCCAGGGAGGTGGTAGATGCGCCATCCCTGGAAACATTCAAGTTTTGGTTGGATGGGGCACTGAGCAACCTGATCTAGTTAAAGATGTCTCTGCTCATGGCAGGGGGATTGGATTAGATGGCCTTTAAAGGTCCCTCCCAACCCAAACTGTTATATGAAGTCCAATGGGAGCAGCTATTTATACTTACTGTGTACCTACAAGCTAGACCCCCGTGACCAATTTCTTCTTGCTTAGACTCCACTGAGATCCCTAGTTTTACTTTAGATGCATCTCAGCATCCAGAAGCATTTAAGCCATAGAAAGCTCCTTTAGGTGGAATTTGGGCTGTGTGGAGGAAGCCTTCCTGAACCCCACGGCGTGTGGTTTGTGCACATATGCATGTGAGTGCACGCATGTGCTCAACGGGGAAGCCAAAAAGAAGGAACTGCGGCAGCAGACACATGACTCAGGGTGTGGGCGAGATTGGAAATACAACCCCAGTATTGCTGGATTATCAGCAAGTCTGGATCTTCATTCTGCAGCAGCTGGGCTACCTCCCAACAGGAGAACGCTGCGGGCAACATTTGTGCTTAGTAGTCAGTTATCCATGGGAGCAGGTAAGGGATTAGTGACCAGGGAGGGTTCCACGCCTGCCAGCAGGGCGAACACCACGGCTGCTCAGTTTAATTGAATATTTAGTAAGAGAGAGGAAATAATAGAGCTTTTTTTCTTCTAAACCACAAGTTCTTTGCATTTGAACCGAAGGAGAATTGTCTCCCTTTTCTGGAATTCAGTAGGTGATGTGTGGCTGGCTGAGATGTGGTTCCAAGTCATGGTGCTGCATGTGTTTAACGTGTAGGTGTCCCCCCCTTCCATCAATACCTGCCTCTGTACTGGAGTCCATGGCCCCTGCCTGTGGGTCGCTGCTGCTTCTGCTGTGGAGCCTATCGTGGAGACACCTGGCTGGAAAAAAAAAAAAAAAAAAATTTTTTTCCTAGAAATGTTGTTTTTCAGCCAGATAAATTTCCCAACCTGATTCGCAGTGTCTGTTGGAATGGGGCCAGAGGAGGGTCACAAAGATGCTCAGAGGGCTGAAGCACCTCTCCTATGAGGACAGGCTGAGAGAGCTGGGGTTGTTCAGCCTGGAGAAGAGAGGGCTCCAGGGAAACCTTACAGTCCCTTCCAGTACTTAAAGGGCCTACAAGAGAGATGGGGAGGGACTCTTTACGAGGGACTGTAGTGATAGGATGAGGAATTAACAGTTTCAAATTGAAAGAGGGGAGATTTAGATGAGATATTAGGAAGAAATTCTTCACTGTGAGGGTGGTGAGACCCTGGCCCAGGTTGCCCAGAGAAGCTGTGGCTGCCCCATCCCTGGAGGGGTTCAAGGCCAGGCTGGATGGGGCTTGGAGCAACCTGGTCTGGTGGGAGGTGTCCCTGCCCAGGGCAGGGGGATGGAACTTGATGATCTTTAAGGTCCCTTCCAACTTGAACTATTCCATGATGCAAAAACCAGAAGGCAAAGCACAACCGAAAGGTCAGAGCACAGAGAGACCAACCAGCAGCAAGGGGCAGCAGTAGCTGAAGTCTGACTTGCTGGCAAGGACTTAGCATCATGAACCTATCGCTGGGGCTGCTGTTTTGGGGAACAAAGCTCACCCTAACCCAATTTGTATTCTCAACAATGCAGAAAACCCACAGATTTAAGCTGGTTTTTACCTCTGTCTTTGAATGAATTTAGGATTGCATCTTTCACCCAAAGAAACCTTATTCAGCAGCTTGTTTCTGCCAATGTAATTAATCAGGAGATGGCAAAAGATCACTTTATTTCATCCCAGATTTCAAACCCCATTTGTCTGCTCTTCATCAAGGCTCTCCCACATGCTGTGTGTTCTGGGCAGTGTATGGTCTCTTATTTTTAGCTATAGGTGATAGCAGCACATCTTCTTTAAAGAAATCCCACTAATAATGTCTGTTAGTCGTTGAAAGCAAATCAGGTGTTAACAAGCTTATCTTAAAGTTTACCTGCCTAAAATTTCCTCTGCTCTCACTTTCTTAGCTTTCATTCTCTTAATCTGTGTCCCAAGTGAAAAAACATCTGATCGTTTTACCAATTTATTACAAAAAAATTGAAATGTACTTGTTTTTCCCTCCTTTAGCATGATCTTTTGGCTCTTTAAAATGTAGCATTTCAATCAGCTCACTTTAAATGTGTTTCCTCCATCCCCTGATTAACATGGCTAAGTTTTTGTGAGTTTTGGATGCGTAATTTACAGATTGCAGGAGTTTTCTCTTTTAAACGCAGTGAATTATATTTAAAATACTCAGGTGTCACTTTAAAATGGAGTCACAAAGTCAATCGATGAATGCAACTGAGCAGTTTTCAGGATCAAGTTCAAGCTTGTAATAAGAGGTGAGTTACTAAAACTTAATAAATTATCTGAAGCTCCAATCCTTCCCCAACAAGAATAACTGTAGTGTGCTCTCTCTCTTCACAGGCACACCATTACACAAGGAATGAAAAGAAAGATATGGGGCATCTCTTGAGTATTTGTTGAAATTAGGATTCTGTTCTTCATTGGATTTTCTTTGTGCCAAACAGCACTCTGTTTTTTCCACATTGTTCCATCTTGGACGCTGACCCTGCATGTACTTACTTGATTATTCTGAATACTTCAGAGTACTCTCATAACTGTCTCATAGAACAAACAGCCAAGTCTATTTTGAATAGGTTAATCTCAGGGTAAAGTTACATATAAATACGTGCCCCCAGCACTCTGAAGGATTGATGCATTTTTGGGTTAATCTCGGAGGATTTTAGTGCCGGTCAGAAGAAATGATCAATATCAGCTCAGTATTGCTTCCAAGCAGGTGCACACTTTCATGAGAAATTTATGTGAATGCCATTATGGAAATGCCAGCATCCCCATTTTATAGTTATAGAAGAACTGAAACACCGAAGGGCTAAAGAAGTGGTGTGATGACACATACATTTATTTTTTGGACAGGGATAGGATTCAAAAGTGCTGCTGTATGAGACTAACTATTTATGTGGTCTGGACACTCTCTGCTAGTTTCAGTTTATTTTAAAAATTCTGATGGCTTAACTTTGAACAGCCCAGACATGGACCTGTTGAGAGTGGGTTCAGAGAAGCCCATGAAGATGATCAGAGGGCTGGAGCACCTCTCCTACGAGGACAAGCTGGGAGAGTTGGGGTTGTTCAGCCTGGAGAAGAGAAAGCTCCAGAGAGACCTTATTGTGGCTTACAGGAGAGATGGAGTCAAACTTTTTAACAAGGCCTGTTGCGATAGGACCAAGGGTAATGACTTACAACTGAAAGAGGGAAGATTTAGACTAGATATCAGGAAGAAATTTTTCATAACAAGGGTGGTGAAACCCTGGCCCAGGTTGCCCAAAGAGGTGGGAGATGCCCCATCCTTGGAAACATTCAAGGTCAGGTTGGATGGGGTCCTGAGCAACCTGATCTAGTTGAAGATGTCCCTGCTCATTGCAGGGTAGCGTGCAATAGATGGCCTTTAAAGGTCTCTTCCAACCCAAACTACTCTCTGAATTGGTGAAAAGTGCAACCCAAAACAAACTGCTCTTTATTTGACAACTCCCTTTCTAAAGCTGAAGTAATGTGGGGAGAAGGGAATAACAAATATCTGAAATGCATATATAAGAGCTTTGTCAATCTTTCTGAAATATCTATCATATATATTTAATCTTTATTGTATATGGTATAAGATTTATATTATAACAACAATAATTGGCATTTTTATGGCACCTTTCCTCTGTAACAACTTTCTTCCAGAGATCACAAAGCATATTTAGACATACCCATCAATGAAGCCTCTCATAATCACTGTGTGGGTAATGAAAGTTATAGCATTTGCTTCCCTCCTGTCACTTCAGGATTTAAATCACATGAATCTTCAAGGCTTAGAAGAAAAACAGCAGGAGAAACTTGTGAAGGATCCACCTGCCTTATTTTAACATGCTACGGTCATTTCTCCAGCTCAGTAACAGCTCTGGGGTCAGCCTTGGTTGGAGCGATTTCTTCTCCCTTACTCAAAAACAATTCCAGGTTTTGGGGAATCTTTAGATCTTCACTCTGTTAAAAATTTCAAAAGGTGAATTTGGGTGTGATAGTGTGTGTGACAGCATGATGGAGAGGTTAAGCCTGGCTATTTATTGCAGATAAAAGAAGTAATAGAATTGTAAAATAAGCATTATTTTTTTAAATCAGTCTAGCCTGAGGCACAGTTATCTGCAGAGATTTTTCCAAGGCTATACCAAAACATTTATATTGCGGACTCAATTATTTATCAACATGAAATAGATACATCATCTCAGGCATCACCTTTTAAACCTGGAGAAGTTAGCGACTTGGTAAATAATTTTTTGAAACCTGCCTGCTTTTCAGAGCATTATTTTTCCTATTTCCATGCAGTTAGTGACATGGTTTAGTGATGGATTTTTATGAGAGTTAGGCTGATGGTTGGACTAGATGATCTTAAATGTGCCTTCCAACCTAGACAATTCTATGATTTTAAGAGGAATCCGATGTGAAATTTTCTTAATTTGTTCCATGCTTTTTTTTTAGATAATATTCACAATGCCCTCCCACCTGGCATGCAGGATCTTGTTTTATTTGAAATATATAAAGCTTTTGAGGAGCTCGTGTCTCACTTCTTTGAAAATCGTCAGGCTTTTCCACGATGTTTTCAAAGAGGACTTGTCTGTGGGCACAAATAGGAGTTGGAAATGCTTACTGATGGCTAGGAAAAAAAAAAAAGGAAAAAAGACATTTTCTAGGTGTATTTTTGCTGCATTTGTGACTAAAAATGCACTTGGCAAAACCCTAAAAGGGGGAGGAAATCACGATGTGGCCCAGGCTCCCCTGGATAAGAAGAATCAGGACGAAGGCTGGGGTAAGGCTGGCTCTTCCCTAACCTCTTGCTGGGATTTATGGTCATCTCGTGATCCAAGGGCTGGAACTGCCATTCCCACACCAGAGGGGTTTATGGCTCTCTTGTTGTTTTAAAGTGATTTGTGCATTCTCTGTACGCGTTATGAAATTGGTGTGGGTTGTAATTTTTTTTAATCTCTGAAAAGCCAGACTTCTGAGCCACTGAGCTTCCTAATCACAGGCGTGGAAACTCCTGAACTTTAACGAACAGCGTTATCTAAGTAGTCTTCTTTCTGGTTTTCCTGGGTGCCTTTTCAAATTGCTTTGGGGAAAAATCAGTAATAATGATTGTTTATAAAGCTTATGGTTAATGCTCTGCAATTCCATTGCAAACCTGCTGAGTCACTGGGTAACAGTTTAATTCCAAAGCTGGCAACATTTCTCATCGATTGCCCTCTATATAAAAATCTCCACATTGCATATGTATGTAATTAACAGAAGATAAGGCTGTTCTATTTAAAGGCCATGAAAAGAAGAAAAATCCTTCAAGTTGTACCCTGATTGATTTCAAATGAACATGAAATTTTAACAAAACACCGTCTGTGGCGTGCAGTATGAGGATTCCCAGTGTGCAGGGAAAGGCTTTCATGATAACACTACAGAAATCAAAATAAAGAGTAGAAACTACTTAGGAATTCACTAGAAACCTTGGAGGGAGCTAGGAATAAAACCCCTCATCTGTAGCGCTTCCATGAGGAAAGAAAAATAAATGTTTACTTACTAAAGCGTTTATTTCTAAATTGTCAGGCGTGGCTGCCCTTTACAGGAAGGCGGGTGCATGACTGGCAAGGAAAAAGAAAAAATTAACTGGCAAAATAAATCCTGTGAAGAGGAAGGAGATAGAGCAGAGAGGAAAAGCTCTGTGATAGAAAAGGGCAATGGATCAGCAGAAGTTTAATGGTATGTGCAGAAATGACGATGTCTGGGGTTTTTTTAATTTTTTTTTTTTCTTTGCAGTGAGAAAAAACTATTAAGCTTCTTTTAAGTCATTCCTGCTTGTATTTATCCCCCACTTCTTCCTTTGTAGTTGTGTTTTTTGTTGTTTTGGGTTGTTTTTTTTTTTTAACAAGAAGAGATGGAAGATAAATTGCTAGTTGTAAAGAGTGCTGCAGGGGAAACACTGGGGATATAACCACCTAATTATGAATTTCCTGAATGTGCAACATGACCAGGAGCAACTGGACAGGATTAGTGCTGTACGTTTCATCTCCAGCTGTTTCATGAATACCAATCTACAAAAAAATCTTCCAAGAAGAACATTTACTTCTTTTTTTTTTTCTTCTTCTTTCTGTGCCCCTACTCTTGGCTTTAACAATGCAAGCAATATTGCTTTGTTTTCTTTAGAGCATGAACTGAAACAAGAGCTTTCAACAAAACAAAACCAAAGCAAACCTAACAAGCCAAAGAACTGCACAGCGTTAAGGAGATTTAACTGAAATAGTCACAAAATATCAAAGGAACATCCTGCTCGTTGGCAAAAGTGGAACTAACACTGCAGAGATGCGTGATTGTCAGACAATAAATGAGAGTATTTTCTTCTGCTGCAGTGGTCAGAAGTTATTGTTTTGAATAAGCACAACTGGTGCGTAATCTTCATGGCAGGCTTCTTGAATTGGGTAAGCGCCAACGCTCTTTGGAAGCTCTTGGCAGATGGGAACTTATTTAAACTTATAAAACCAACGTAGACGAAAAAATGTCAAAAATGCTCTGTGTCAGTCCTCAGCTTGCAAGCAGACAAATTACGAAGACAATGGTGCTTCTCATGGAAGGGAGGGCCACAGGAACATTTTCTTTCCATGATGCCTTTGTAAAGCTTAAGAAACAACTAATAGAATAATATCCCTGACAAACAACAACGTCTGTTGTGTCAGAAATCACAGCTTTAGAATAATGGCACTGGCGTTTCAAGGGCCTCTTCTAGCTCATGGTGAAGTCCCTGGGTCTATTGTGACTTCTAGCAGAGTCTGAGTGGGCAGATTTATTGCTTAGTAGTAGTCTGAGAGACCCAAAGTCCAAATTAAGGACTTGCCCATTAGATGTAATAAAAGGATGTCCAGCAGGTAACTGGTTTTATCACAGATTGACATGCAATGCAAAGTTACTGTGCACCCCAATATCAAGAGAGGCAGATAATTTTTATTTCAGAATCTTGCAGCGATTAGTCCTTTGATCTTATCCCAAGAATAAGATTTTTTGGGGGGGCTTAATTTCTGCACGTGTTACTGAGCATGAGAAATACAGACCTGTGTCCTAAGAAGGGGAAAAATCTGCTAATTAATACCATGAATACAAACTCCTCACCAAACTCGGTCAGTTCATGAATGCAAACCCATGAATATAGGCTCAGTGAATAACTGGCATTCATTTCCTCTAAATAGAGAGGTACAGATAGAAATCCTGGTTCGTGCTGATGTTTACATGCCCTACTTATTTAAAAAGAGCGTCCTGCAGAATTTTGGATTCCCCACAGCAAAAGTGACCGTTAGGAACTACGAACCATGCTTACCCAGATCTCGCTTGTGCCAGCCTCCGTGGGCAGTACCTAGAAAATAAAACAGTGTCGAGATTGAAGGAGTTCAGTATGTTTTAATTTGTACAATCTAATCTGCCTTAAGGTTTCGTTTTTTCAGATAAAAGATCGAGAAGAAGACTACTGTGACCAGATAGGACTGTACGATTTTGAGTAGCCAATTGTTTAAGTGATTTGTGATACATAAAAAGACAAGGGGCCCCGAAATGGTTTGTTACCAAGAAAAAAAAGATCGTACGGTCTCTTCTTTATTCTGGGGAAGGAGCAAGTGACGTGATCACAAGGGGGAAGGAGGAAAATCATAGAATCATTGAGGTTGGAAGAGACCCTTGGGTTCATCAAGTCCAACCATCTACCCTACTCTACAAAGTTCTCCCCTACACCATATCCCCCGACCCCACATCTAAATGACTCTTAAACACATCCAAGGATGGTGACTCAACCACCTCCCTGGGCAGCCTATTCCAGGATGGTTTTGGTAAGGAGATGACCCAGTTTGCTCTGAGTATCTTATCCTTCCCACCTTGCAGAGTCCTTCCCCTGGCAGAGCGAGGTCTGGGTGAGGAACTCTGCAGGGGCAAGGGGTCACCAAAGGTGTTTCTTGCTGAATATGTCTCTCTCTCCATCTAAGATGCTGCTGGCCCTGAAAGTCTGAACCCAGAGCTCTTGCTATGGATAAATGCAACCTGTTAGAGACCAAGTCTGGAGCCAGCCCACCCAACAGCTGCTCAGAGTCATAATAATGCACGTGGAGAGAAAACTCCAGCCAGCATTTGAGCAGAACCATCCACCCCATACGCCAGTGCTACGTGGTACTAAAAATGACTGAGGGCAGTACATCCCAGTGGAAAAAAACAAACAGTATTCAGCAAATAAATCAATCAAAGCATTCTCTGTATACTGTCAAACAGCACTGAGGCCAAGATCTCAGCCTGCCTGCCCTGCGGAATACAGAACGTGCAGCTTGTGGGAATAGTAAAAGTTTAGCTCGAATCCCATCAGAAACCTGAGGGAAAGTATCCTGTGAGAATAAAACCCGTCTTTGCAGACTTTTCAGTGGTGTCTGATCTCTGAGGCCACATCCTGCTTGTAGGGACAGAGTTGGCCCAGGTTCCCCTCTGGAATTTGTCACCCAACGGGATGGGGATGATGGCAGAATACAGGAGTTAGAGTTGGTTTGGATCCAGTCACTAGTGCTTGAAGTGTTACTGTGCGGTGGCTCAACAATTCCTGCAGGAAAGGAGTTTAGGGGGTTTCTGCCTGGTCCTGATGCATCTGCAGCTTGGGAATGACCGTCCTGGGGACACGGATCCGAAGGCCAAAGGAGGAGAAAGCATTGTCCCTTCATCCTGCTCTTCTGCAATGGGTGCACATGGGAAGGGAGCCGGATGAGCCGTGCTACTGCGTTTCTGACGCCACTTGCTTCCTGAATAAACAGAAAGATCTCACCGTGATAGAAGAAAAATATGGATGTTATTGAAAAAAAACAACACCCAGACTCATCAAAACAGAAAAGTTAAGTTCATGGCTTCGGTCTGTATTTGTTTGGATGACAGTTTGGGTCACTCATTTTCTCCAGGGTAATTTGTCCATCCCTGCTGTGTCACCCCCTTAACCTAATCCTTTTCCTTTTTCAGGGGCAAAAGATGTTTCCTCCTGGTCTGATGAATGCCCTTCCTAGATGAGCTGGCTCAGGGAATAAAGCATTAAAGAAACAGTTTTATCTGTTATTTACGTAGGAACTTTCTGAGGAAGAGCGGTCCTTGCTCCACTCTCCCCTGCCCTATCCCTGGGTTTATAAGTCGTGCCCGATTTCCACAGAACCACTTTGCAGTTGCTGTTAATCACATCTGCTCCTTCTTCATCAGGGCAGAGTGGCAGAATAGAAAGTTCTCCAAGGAGAAGGTGGGTGTTTGTTCCAAGCCCAGGCTGCTGTTGCTCTATTTTTCATGAATTTGGCCACTTCTGCAGTTCCAGGCGAGACTGGAACTCTGTTGTGAGTTGTGACTCTCCAAATGGGAACACGCTCAGACGTAGCCTTCCTCTGGCCCATCTAATAGAAAAGCTACAAATCAGTCCTGTGCTTCATCCCCTTTCTCTCCTCCATTTCTTTTCATTTTGCTTTCTTCAGATTTTATTTTGTTTACTCCTCAATTTAAATTTTATCTTTTCTTGTCATTTTCCAAGTCAGATCAGTGATTATTTT